TGTGTGTGTGTGTGTGTCATGAAGTGCCAGGGTTGTGGAGTGAACCGGCAGTGCGGGGTGGGGACTTCACTGTTTTGACTGTTCATTTGCACCAATCAGCCTCCCGCCCTCCCCCTCTCTCCCCCATCTCTCTCCCCTCTCTGTCTCTCTCCCCTTCTCTTCTCTGATTAGGCCCACCGCGGCTCCATCAGGGCCCCAATCCCCCAGCTGTCACTCGGCCGCCCGTCTGATTGAAAACAATCAGGCCTCTGATGGCACAATTACCCTGACCCTTTAGCCAGCCGCCGCCGCCATAATCAGCCTCTGATTAGGCTGCTTTGGGCCTCCTTCACTTCGCCCAGAAGGTTAATTTGGGCATCAGACGGAAGCGAACGGCAAGCGGGGGCCGTCGTCCGAAAGGGGTGGGGGGGTACGCGCCAATACCGGACCGATATAGCTTGGCCGTCAATCATTGTCACTCAGAGTTTTCTTATAGTCTCTCACGCTCTGGAAATCACATTTTCTCTGGCTTTGTTTTTTTTTTTCCTCTCTCTTATTTCTTGCCATCCTTTGCTCTGCCTTTCTGTAGCTTCCCCCTCCCCTAACCTCTCTCCCTCGCTATCTCTTTCCCTCACTCTCTCTCCCTCTCTTTTGTGGTCTCACTCTCTCCTTTTCACACACACACATACACACACACTCTCTCGCACTTTCTCTTTCAGTGCGGAGGGGAAGGAGGGAGAAGGAGTTGATTTATTCCGTGCCCTGAGGAAGTTGTGTGATGCAGCGTGACCTTCACAGTCAGCTGCCGTAGTGCACACGCTCACACACACACACACTAACACACTCAGAAATACGCACACATACTGTCACTTCAGAGCAATGAGGAGGAGAGGGGCGGGGTGAGCGTTAGAGAAAGGGAGGTAGAGACAGGAGAGTGGCACAGATATCACAAAAAGACAATCCTGAAGGGGAGTACACGTTGAGTGTTTGTCTATACATCATACACCAACTGCTGTGTTCTGATTTCTGGTGGGATACTGTGAATCTTGTCTGTGGTCATCCTTGTACCAAAGCAACATGTTCCCAGTCTCTGTTGCCCCAAAACCTGCCTTTATTCTGCTGTACTAAGTTCTCTGTCTCTGCACTGATTTCGTTAAAAACCACTTTGTTCTCCTGATAATGGTATCAGTGATCTCCAGTCATCTCGCCCACATTCACACCTCGTCGCAGCTAAATAACCTTCTACCGCTCTCAAGTTCAATTAAATCCCTTCTCTGCAACCCAGACCGCCTGCATTAAACAAAGGAGGGTGCCTGTGGATATTTACAGTCTGTATATTGAATGCTGCTGATTAATAAGTACTTGTGTGTGTGTGTGTGTGTGTGTGTGTTTGTTGGCAAGTATGGATGCAGTGCTGGCTTGCCTCAGTCTTGCCATAATAGCCTATAGGAGTCTAGAAAAATAATTATGATTAGCAGTCCCACACACATTTTTTTCTCCTTTTGTTTTCTGCTTCTTTCACTCATTCCTCTAATCTTTCTTCTTTTCACACTGACTTCAAGCTTCCCTTTACTTTCTCATGCACCCTTTATTCCTTTCCCTTGTCTCACTGTTCTTAGCCTCTTCTTCCTTCTTCCCAGCCCCATTTTAAGGGACTGTATAAAAATGTTTAGTGTGAGGAGGGGGCTTTAAATTGCAAGGCCCTCCTTAGAGTTATTTGTAATTTCTTTGGACCCTCCCCTTGACCTAGAAGAAAGAGCAGCATCCTCTTCCTGGATGTGTCATCATAACACAACAGTACTGAATTGGTTAATCTGATTTTATCAATGATAGCCAAAAGAGACAAATAATTCAAGATATGTACCCCAGTTAAAACCATATTTTAACAATAATTGCAATATATCCATCAAAATGCACATTACAAATGTTATTAGCAAATGCCAAATTTATGGCAAACATAACAAAATGGTGAATATTTCAGTCACTATTTTATTCTAGTGACTATTTAAATAAAGACCTCAACCCCCTAATGAGGGAACTGGGCCCAAAGTGTAATACTGAATTTGAAGTATAACTTTGTATGACACGTTTAACTTTTTGTGTGAATGTGGGAACAGCTGTTGATACAGTCCATAACTCTCCTCTACTCTGTCTGCCTCTAGTTGGTCGTTCTGTGGCTGGAACACGACTGTCGCTACCAGTACACTGAGGATCTACTCCAACACGTCCGCTATAGCCTGATGGATGTCCCCACACTGCACCACCTTGCCCGCAGCCACCCTCTGGTCCAGTCCAGCCCTACTGCTGCCGCCCTGGTGGAGGAGGCCCTGGACTACCACCACGCCACCTTCGCCCAGCCCCTCCGCCAGTCGGCCCGCACCAGACCCCGTTTCCAGTCTCTCACTCTGTACATAGCCGGCGGGCGGAAGCGGGAGGTGAGCAGAGTCAGGGAGCTGCGGTACTTCAACCCAGCTGTGCAGGAGCATGTACGTGTTGCAGGCGGGTCGAACTGGAGCGAGCTGGCTCCCATGCCCACTGGGCGCAGTCACCATTGTGTGGCCGTAATGGGGAACTTCCTGTTTGTCGTGGGTGGGGAGGTGGAACACGCCACCGGGAGGACATGTGCGGTAAGGACTGCTTGCCGATACGACCCCAGGGGCAACTGTTGGACTGAGATTGCCCCCATGAAGGCCTGCAGAGAACACTTTGTCCTTGGTGCTCTGGGTCAGTACCTGTACGCAGTGGGGGGGAGGAATGAGCTGAGGCAGGTGCTGCCCTCCGTGGAGCGCTACTGTCCCAAGAGGAACAAGTGGATGTTTGTCCAACCCTTCGACCGCTCCCTCTCCTGCCATGCTGGCTGTGTGGCTGACAACCTGCTCTGGGTCTCAGGTATACAGTGATAAAGAAGACGGACTGAAGATACTCACACACTGTTGACATGTAACTCAGAAATACGCTGCTTTATGCAAATCTGTACAAAATCGTTGAGTGTTGTTCCTTTGTATTACAGGTGGGGTGACAAACACAGCTCAGTACCAGAACCGACTGATGGTGTATGACCCAGAACAGGTAAGTTCCCTCTCACTATATTAAACAAGACAGTTATGTAAGTGCTTATGAGACTACATCTGTGATTTTGTATGTTGCATACTATTTACTCCATTTACTCAGCTCATTGTTTTGGTTTAACGTCCCACGACTTTACTGTTTTGGTTCACTCTCTCTGCTCTCATCAGCACTGCTTCCAGCAGCAGCAGTGGCAGTTTTCAGAAAAAATTATCTGATAAACCCACTGCACGTTACCTCCCCAGTATCAAAAGACAAGCCAAGCTAGAGACTAACTGGTGTGAAGAACTTAGCAGCTAAAGAGCTGGATATTTCCCTCAGGAGTTGGTAGAGACCAAATCAGAGTTAAAAGAGATGGAATATTAGATTTACATTCACCAAGTGGCCATAAAAACATGACTTCAAAGGTATTTTATTACCCTCAATGCAGCCTTTTTGAGTTTCATTCAGTTGTCTATATAAAGGGTGAAAACAGCACTATAGAATGAGAACTACAACAATTTTACTGTCATACCAACATGTTTCAGCTTGTGGCCATCATCAGGGTTTAAAATAGTAGCTTGTGTGTTTTTCCACTGAAAAGTCTTTCCTTATCTGAATAAGGATGTAAGGATAGAGGGTGTCCTATAACATTCAGAGATGTGGCTTTGGGCTATACAAACAAAAGGTTGGCTTGACTTTCCATTCGTGGTCCGAGTCATACTATTGTTGTGAGGTGATGCAGTGGATACTTCAAAACTAATCTACACTTAAACAGCATCAATGTAAGAGTAGCAGCTTTTTTTCAGAACATTAATATAGTCATTATGTTCTTGTGTGATAAATTACACAACAGGCAGGTGTCAGTCTGAGTCTGCTAATTGATTTTCACACCATATGGAAATTAATGAAAACCAGTGGCATTGTGGAAAACAGGAAAACTACATGAACAAAACTGAAACTCTACAGCTTACTTTAGAATATAATTAGCAGTCAAATATTGTATTTGTGATTTGTAGTTAATTATTCATGTTTGTAGTTCCAAAAACCCTTGTGCTGGTCCTTTAATGTAACTTGGCTTCTACAAGGTTACAACCTTTATCGTAAATGCAAAGTGAACAATATATTTTGTTGCAGTCTTCAGTGCATCACGGTTGAAAAGGGATTGAATTAAATATCATTTCTCTGTTTGCAATGCTCACACAGCTAACTGTGGTGGAATGTAGTAAGCTGCAGTTTCTGTTTGTGTATGTATATAAGCCAGCTGTTAGAGAGGGCTGGATCTTGGCGAGGCTGTATATAGCGCGGAGGTATGCGATGTGTGTGTGTATATGTGTAAGGTGCACATCCATATGGGTCTGTGTTTGTACATGTCGGCGTGGAAGCAAAGGAATGAAGAAAGCGGACGAAAGAGAGAGGGAGAGAGTCTCATTTGTATTCACCATGAATCTACATTCACCTGCCAGAGCAACAGCAACCCCCCACCCACTCTACCCTCAACAGATGGCCACCCGTCAGCTCCCAGCAGACGCACACACACGTACACACTCTCATTCTCTGCCTCAATCAAACACTCGCACACACACACTGACACAAAATAAGCTTCGACACACTTAGTGAAATGAGCAGGGATCCTCGGTGTAAAATGGAGTGGCTGAAACATATGATTAGAAATAGGGAGGGAAGTCATTAGTACAAACCAGAGCTCCAGTGTCACGTTATTTATCTAGCACTGAGCATACATCAATTACCCATGCATGGATATGCTTAAATATTAATCTTCTTATTCATCCTCCTTCCCTTCCCACCTACTCCGTTTCTCTCTCCCTGCCTCTTCGTACTACATCTCACCTCCTTCTCCTCTGCATCCTCTTTTCTTTCTTCCCCTCCATCTGCTTTTTTCCCCCTAATCCATTCTCCACCACCTCCACCTCCACCTCCACCTCCTTTTCAGGACCAGTGGTTGGCCCGCAGTCCCATGTTGCAGAGGCGGGTTTACCACGTCATGGCGGCGGTGAGGAGGCAGCTCTACGTGCTAGGTGGGAACGACCTGGACTACAACAACGACCGCATCCTGGTCCGCCATATCGACTCCTACAACATGGACCTGGACCAATGGACGCGCTGCTCCTTCAGCCTCCTCACTGGTGGGCAAAGTGAAGAAACCACACATGTGAACATGCATACGCTGTCAAATTTATTCTCTGATTAGTTGACAGAAACAACCTGGTCAACACTCCAGTCTGCAAGACTGCGTTCTTTCCTTTCAGTGTTGCTACAGACAGAAACATGGGTGGACAATAGCTGGTTAGGTACTTATATGTAGAAAATTAACTTATTTAAAAGAAAAGTTTTAAACATACACACGTTAACTTTTTTTGCCCAGAGTTAAAAAGATCGATACCACTCTCATGACCGTACACCATGGGTGTATTATTAGAACTGGATACTGGAGTCCAATGAGAATTGCTTGCCTCACGCACACAGCAAAAAGGTTTCTAGCCTCCGGCCCCCTGAATATGTGCAGTTGTGTTTCTCCTGCTAGCTCCGCCCACAGGTTCCCATTCACCACAGACTTTTACATTGTGTTTATTTCATGTTTCACAAATATAAAACCTCCATGGGTAAAAAATCCATAATAGAAAAGAGTCATAATGAACCTTATCTGGAGTTTGTGGTTTCACAGACGCCTCTCTTTTATAATAGTAAGGTAACAAAAACACAACAATTCTTATTTTCAGGTGATTACACACTGATGAAAACATACCTATGAATATTATATTCCATTTCTGCCAAGGGATCCTCCTGAATGTTACAGTATCTTTTTAATTATTAATGATGTCCTGTATGTCGTACTTAGAACCATAGGTTGAGTAAAGCTCTCTGCTTTATCCTCCTCTCATTAGATACAAACATAACACATAATGCCTCCCTGCTGGTTGTGAGTAGGCGGGATGATATACACACATACAGCCCTGCTTTGGACTTGTGGGCATGCTGCATGTATAGTTTCCATGCTGGTGGAGGTAGTACTCCCTCCCACCTCCACCAGCACGGACCTAGAGGCACTATCTATCATACACATACTGTAGGATGTGGCCATATTCTCTCACTCCATGTTGTAGTCTTCAATGAAGATTTAAAGTTCCTCCCTCTAGTCCTGTATGACTTTCCTCTTTTGTTCGAGGATCTTCTTCCTTCTATTATATCTGTAAAAGTTTAAGACAAAGTCACAGGAAAGAGAACAGGAGCTCAATCTTGGCTCTCCATACCCTCCCGCCCTTGCCCCATCTTTCTCCATTTATCTCCCTCCCTGCCTCTCGGGGGACTCTGAAGTCATATTGTCAGGATGCCCTCTGCTTGGCACAGTGAAACATTGTGTCGGCTCTGTCCTCCCCAGGTCAAAATGAGTCCGGAGTTGCCGTGCACGATGACAGGATCTATGTGGTTGGAGGATACTCCATTTGGACCAACGAGCCTCTGGCATGCATTCAGGTGGGAGATCCAGCTTTCAGATTTAGCCCCGTAACAGTTGTGACACCTTTCTATTGATATTCTATTGATAATATGCTGTTCATCGATGAAACAATTGGTGCACTAATTATAAAATAGCCATTGAATTGAATGAGACATACTTGTATAGTTAAACTATGGGCCAGACTGTTTCTGGGACACTGTACGTCTTTCTTCCCATCACATGAAGAGTTAAAAAAACTTTTTTTAATGCTGCCTTCGAGTGCTGTCATTCATATTGTATTAGATTACAAGTTCAACACACATGATAGCAAAATAAGGCTTAAAATGCTTACCAAAGTGTGACTGTAGGGTTGCGAAGAGCATGGCTTGAATGTCATGCTGATAACCTATTAGTCTAATGTGCTTTTCCTGCTGTCACGTGTTCTGCACTGCCTGATTTATTTTCCAAAAATACTCTTGCTCAGGTAACCTCCACTGCAGATTGGTATCAAGAATGTACTCATGCATATAGTCTTCCAGAAATCTCTCAACTTTATGTGGTAAAGTTAAGTGGGAGAAGGACGCGGAGGGACATAACTATCAGAGGAAGAATGGTTAAACCTTATCAAATACAACCCGCTACGCTCAGTTCTCCTGAAAGATATGGGTTTTCATACTCCAAAGATAAAAAAAAGAAAAAAGACTGGTGTGGCAGACCATTGATCATTTAATGTCCGTCACTTAGAATGCAACTCTGTTGGCTAGAAACAGAAACTGAGATAAATAGCAGGTTTAGAGATTGATGATCATTTCATCAGTCTTTAAAGCAACCAAACTTAAAGCTCGTGACGAATATCTTCCACAAATATTATTCGTAGCAAGAAAAAAAAAGCTACAGCGAAGAAATGGATGAATGGTAAAATATCTTCCAATAGTGCTGATTTAAAAAAAATATATATTATGGAGAGACAGACTTTTTTACTTCTTTGTTTGACACTGTATTACTGCCCTTGAATGGAAAGAGCAAGGAAGAATAATAACACTTACTCCACTGTGCCCTTATGTACAGTATGTGGTTTACCTCCCCCTCCCCATCTCTCACTGTTTGTGCACACTCTTCCTATGTCGGGTTGTAGCTGTATGCTCAGGTGACCTTGAGCAAGACACTGAACCCCTGGGTGTTCCCAGCGGTCAGGCTAGCACCTTGTGTGTGTGTGTGTGAATGGGTAAATAAAAGGCAAATTGCAAGCGCTTTGTCTGTTTAGGTAGAAAAACGCTATGCGAGTGCAGTCCACTGACCCTTGTATTTTCTCCCTCTCCCCTGTGTAAATGTAGGAGTGACTGCTGTAGGAATTGTTTGCATAGTGGGCATGTGAAGTGTGGGGTTTCTACAAGGCCAAATCTGTCTTTTGAATTCCAGTTGTGAGCTATAAGGAGCTGCAATGGACTTGGAGTGTCCTGCATCAGATGAGTTTTCCTGTTATTCTTAGGAACTTTTCATATAATTATCTGTCTGTATTATGTATTTTCTTATTTTCATCCATGCTTAATAGGCTTCTTTTTTGACAAATTCAGTGTGTTCTTTTCCCTGACATTCAGCCAATGTTCTATCAGCTCTTTGGTTGTTTTAACTGCATACTTTTCTAACGCAGGACGAGGCTGTGTGAATATAGCTTTAATATAGCTGTTCAGGTGTTCATCGTGCACTTTTCCTGTGAGATTTCTTTTTACTTTATGTCTTAAATAATAATCAAAACTTTAAACATAACAGTTTAGTTTTCACCAAAATTAATGAAATGCAGAGACATTGGCCAATCGTGTATTAAAAAAAAGTTTTCTTACACCCCTTAAAATCAGTGCCTTTGGCGACTCCCTCGTGAAGCTTTGGCAACCCTTAGTCAGGTTTGGAATGGTGGACTAAAGCAATTCCCATGCTTAGAACCATTATCCAATAGATTTGAAATCCCGTTTAACCATCCAATGGGAAAAGTCCATTTTAACTCTGATGAAGACGAAGGTGTAGAAACATTAGTCTGTTTGCACCATTAGCGGTTGCTGCTTGCATGGCTAAAACCTACTCCTGTTACATAACATAAGTGTATGAGGAAATATACATATTACATTATACATTTCCTCTTTCCAGGTGCTGGATCTGAGCACAGAGGGGAAGGAGGAGGTTTTCTACGGGCCAACACTGCCATTTGCCTCCAATGGGATAGCAACCTGTTTCCTCCCTGCTCCTTACTTCACCTGCCCAAACCTACAGACTCTACAAGTACCCCATCACAGGATAGGTGCCGTTTAAACCACTGAACAAAACGCCACAGAACACGAACATGTAAAACCAGAGGATGAAGGAGTCTCAACTCTGGACCGTCACTATCTGCAAAGGTGACTGACAAAAATGTACCTGATCATAAGTAATCATTCTGGAACCTGCCATCTCTGTCGCACGAGTGTACAGGGATTTCTTTGAGACCCAAATGTAATAACAATACTATCCTGATCTACAAGAGCCATGGTATTCTGCAAGCTTCTAGGAAACTGAAAAAACAAGCAGCTCTCTCAATAATACAGCATACGTGTTGTATTTCCCCAAAGACTGAGACACCATTCATGATGTCCAGCGAAAGACACGGCGAGCAAGAAGAAATAACTGCAGAGGGATTACAATTCCCTAAGAAGACAGGAATAAAATGCCAATCCTATTACCAATTAAGTGACTTGTGGTAAGCGGACATTTCTGAATTGCTCAATTGTCCACAGGAGTTCAAAGAAGTTGTCCTTTTTGTAACCCATCATAGGACTGTAGGAGCTTTTTCTCTGTATAACATTTCCATCAAATCTCTATAATCACGTTTGTGGCCTGAAAAACATGCACCGGATGTTTTTCAAGATATAAAGGGCCAAGCCTTTTTTCTCATTCACTTGCATGTACGCTGAAATTACAGATTGGGTTAGCAAGTGTCAAGAGCCTGAGTGCATCAGTGCATAAATGACCCTGGATTTTTATTCAAATAAGGTGAAAATACTTGATTTCTCTGCAAAAGCAGCGACACACTACTGTATGTGTGTATGTTATTGACCTGTGAGACTTTTATTATGCTCAGGACCTAAGACTGTTCAATTGAATATCTGGTCGTTGCCATCATTCAGAGAATATCTGTTGAATATTCTACAACGGTGTGTATATGATATTGTAACACTCCATCATGATCATTTGCAAAACAAAATGATTTCACTTTGACCAAAAGAGAGAAAATGCAATCCCTGCACCTTTCCGTCACCCCAAAACATGTCTGAAAGAATACATGGAGCATTTTCAGAATAAAGAAATAAGAAATAAACAGCACTGGAATATATTTTCATAAGGAGTGTTAATAGCTATGATGGGAAAAAGGTGGATTATTTAGCAGCAACAGATAACTAAACACTAAAACATCACTTCGACTGCTTCTCTGTTGCTTCTCCAAAAAGAATGCAGTACGGCAGAAAGCCGCCCAGACGAAGGGATGCATTGCAGTTTGATGAGGCTGGAAAATGACTAGCAATGACAGAAAATGGGACTTTGTGATTGTGGGAGACAGGAGTGAGACTTCATGTGATTAGGTGCAAACTAAAGCCGGATTGCAAGAGATTGCTGAGACTTGGAAAGGCAAGAGAGAGAATTGGAACAAACAGTACTCCTCTCCTTTACTCTTTTTTTTTTTCCCCCCCTGCCACTGAACTCTTTGGGCTCGCCCACGACTGTCATCAAATCTGTAATTCAGAGTGCCAACCGAGTAGAGACGGATCCAGCACCTGATGGTATAAGCACAAATAGTCTCTGCTCACTTCAGTGCTCACGTTCCTCACTTTTATCACTAAAGAGCTGAAACGAAAAGGTGGAGAGACGGTACGAGCACTTTCACATTTATTGTCACATTTTATTTCATTAATGCAAATGCAGAATGCAGAAAGCTGCACTTTCTTTACAATATGTACATTATATACAACCTGCCGATATCAGGCTTATAGTCCATGATTGGAACATATCAGGCTTATGCATGAAGAACACTGAAGTTCAGCTGATAAGACATTTTTAAACATTCATAGTTGCATGTATCCATGCTTCTTACTCATCAGCAAATTAGCTTTCAACATTATCCCAGCTAATGACATACACTAAACCCTCATGTTTTATAAGATACCCTTGTAGGCAGCACTGTAAAGGCCTTTTCTAATAAACCAAATGAAGATATTTGGCAAAAAAAAGAAGGTTGGTATGACTAATATGTGGTTCTTGGAGCTGGCGACAGGTCTTGGAGCTGGTCCTTTTTTTTTTTTCAACGTTTCAATCCGCTTCCAGACTGGTTATTTCTGCCTGCCCACTCTCCCCAAGGAGGCACAGCAACTTCCTATATGCACTCCTGTTACACAGAGAGATGGAAGCAGTCACATTAGTGGACACATATAATAAAGCGTAGAAATAAAGAAGATTTCCAGACCAGTATGTGACACCTGCTCAGCGTCTAGACAACTTAAAAATAGCTTAAGGCGATGAATACGGTCTACGTGGTTTCCAGGGTGTGATTCATGTACTTGCTTACCTCAAGGCAATGTTCTTGCCCAGTCCTCTCTTGTGTTCCGTGTTTCTCAGGCTGAGAGACAGGTTGGGGATGAGAGCTTGAACTACAGAGGGATCTAAAACAGCAACCGTCTCCAGGACACTGTATACCTGCCTGTCGTAGACTCCCTCATTCTCCTCCACAAACGACCTGTGAGCATTGGGATTACACAAACAGTGAAAACCATGGATACAAGGGGCTTTAATGTAACATAGATAGTTCTATTCTAAGCCTATATCAGGCTTCGTGCATCCTGTGAACATCTCCACACAGCTCTAATACAGGTGCACAGATTTATTGCTCGACATTATTGTCAATTACCATAAGACAGTCGTCATCTGGTCACACGGTCCTTCTGTAGATGCAGCAGCACATCGCTCCACCACAAGCTGTAAGGCATCTGTGCTCGTCTTCCTCACTGCACAGGAAAAAACCCCCACAGCCCTTCAGTGATTACTATGAACACAAACTTGATTGTCAGAATGTGTTCTTTTCTGTATAATTTGCCCCAAAGTGAGGATTGATGAAAATTATAAGCATTGAGGATGTGTTTGCAACCAACTTGCTGATAGTAAGTACTATGATTATAGCATTTATTGAGCTGATATTGAAGTGAAGTCGCAGAAAATACAGGCCTGGTCAGATTTATTTTGAAGAACTTCGAGGAAAGAAAATGACTTTAAAAGCAACATTATGCAACTATTTTAACTTGAAAAGGTTTTCTGTTTCCCCTCTCATGTCCTCCGGCTGCTCTGCCAGAGTTTGCTGATGGGAAAAAAACGTTACTTGTTGCTAAAGTAGCTTAACAGCAAACCATAGCTGCTGTTGGAGCTAGCTGACTCTGACGGTGTAGGTGAACTGCAATCTGAAACTGCCAAATAACACAAAATGCAGATTCTTGCTTAATGTTGCTTTAACATTTGCTGTGACTACATACACACAAAGTGACAAACATGTGTATGAAGCTGTTACTGATAACTACAGGTTATTCACTGAACCGTGGTCCTTTGAGTAGCTCACATTAGAAACGTTTCCTGTATGACATCAGAAGCATGAGAGGAACCAGATGATGATGATGATGATGATGATGATCTTACCCTGCGGTTCGTTGACCAGCATCAAACAGCGCAGCAGAGAGGGGAGGGGCAGAGTCAAGAGGGCGGGGTCTGAGTCACTGTTTCGCCTCAGAAGCTCCGAGAGGAACATCAGCACTGATGCTAGCCGGGGCGGAGGGGTGTGACCCTTAAACTGCAGGAAGCTCCCACTGTAAAATCAGAAAGTAACACTGAGGCCTGAAGAAGAATTGCACAGTTCAAGAAATCTATTTGTGGAGAAACATAATGGAAGACAAGAAATCATATTAATAAGAATGTGGTTGAGGAGAGGAATCGTATCCAGGCACAATTTGAATATGAAATTAATGTCAAAGCCAGGTGGTTGGGGGGTCACGACAGGCAAACAACATCTAGTTCTAGAGACCTACCAGAGCACCTCCAGGATGGTCTTCCTCAGTGCTGCTCCCCGGGTGGTTGGGTTCGCCTCACAGGCACTCAGAAGCACTGGGTGGTTGGCGATGATGCCCATGGAAGGGGAGGCGGGAAGGAAATGGTCCAGATATCTGCGGGTAACAGAGCGGAGCTGCTGCTTCAGGTAGACACCCTGAGACTGAGACACGCTGGAAGCCACTGACAGCCCCTGCAGGAGAATACATTTAAACATGAACAAACAGACATGAGTGATGAAAGGGTTTTGATTAGGGTTTCAGGTATCTTTCATAACACCTTTAAGCCTGCTGTGTGTCCTGATTGCCCAAGACGTGTGTTTGTGACTCAGTGTATAATATAGGTTTGCCTCTAACCTGTAGATATAGAGGCAGGCTGTCCCTGAGTGCTTTGTCCTGCTGTGTGAGGTTGTGGGGAAGCAGCATCCCATCCACAATGCGAAACAGCAGCTGCTGGGCTTTAGATGTAGCCAGCAGGGGGCTCCAGTGCTTCACTATGCAACCTGAATGGGTACAAAAGAGAGGCAGATTCACAACTGTAATAATCCCTTACTACTGCCTGTGACTCCCACCACACTGTAAAGATAAAGAATCAAAGTACCCCTGAAGCTTTGTCTACTGTATAATGTCTTTGAAGTACATGGGCTCTACACCTACCAACAGCCCAGTAGGCCAGCTGCAGCCCCTCTTGGTTCTTGCTGACCAGTATGGGTTTAATGTGTTTCAAGATGTCACCGATGTAGTCCAGGGCTCTGGTCACCATGGCTGAACGCTCTGACAAAACTTGCAGTCCACTGTACACGCCGCCTACAGCCTGACACCATGAGAGAGCAGATAAGAAAAGAAATTTATGGAAATGTTTGCATGTAAATACAGGCTGCCATAGTAGAGACTAGATGTGACAGTGATATGCTAAGTATACATCACATTTAGTGCAACCTGAGTAAAGGCGGAGGGATGACTTTTACGAAGATATACTGGAGTACTGTGGGTCTTCTACACTGTAAATCATAGACATTCTACAAAAAGTGCACCTTTTCTACTGTAGCTGACAACAGGCAATACCTTCATTAACACCATTAATAAACCACAGTGTATTTTATACCTGTGAGCATGTGTTACCTTGACAAACATCTCCAGGACTGACGTGGGCTCTAGTCTGGTGGCGGTGGGCTGGAGGCCCGTTCTCTGCAAAAGACCGTCCACCTCAGGAAGCCTCAGCACAAGCCGGGTCAGCTCACACAACTGCTCCTCCACGGCGCGGCCTGGAAGCAATGCAGGAGCAAACACCAGGTATTTCAATAAGAATGTATACCTAATCTTTAATACAAGACACACAGGTAAGCACAACCACATAGTTCTCCACAAAATCTGTTTAATCCAGAGCAGACTTAGCTCCATGAAGCTGTAGGATCTGAGTACAGCATCTCACCAAGAGTTAATAAAATTCTCCAACCTTTACTGTCTGGGATACACATATATGAATTCCGTGATATGCCAGACATTCCACATACACATGTATCTGAGTACATTTTTCCTGGTGTGCAACGAATGGTTTATTTATCACATTGTAGACTTATTACCTGTTCTGCTGTCAGACCCATCTGGGTTCTTGTGAAGGTGCTGCTGTAGCACACAGCGGAACCAGGCCCTCACTGACAGGCTTTGTGCCGAACCGGACGCAACAACTGCAGAATCACTGCTTAGTGAGGACACCAGCTCACTGGAAAAGACAGAGACAGAAAGTCCTTTCACACAAATATAAAGGGCGTAATTATAAAAAAAAAAAGAAGAAGAAGTTTGTCATAAGTTTGTCCATGCTGTATACGCAAGTTCACTTAATATTAATATCAGTGTTAACATTCACATGTTATGCCTCATTAGGCTGAAGTGGTCATATTTTTGTATTCTGATGGGAGAATGTCTGTGAAATCATAAATCTTTAAAAAATGTCTCAAACACATAAATGTCTCTTCCCATCAGATTTGACATACAGTCTTTAATGATGAGTCTGGAAGGATAGAGGGAGGTGGACGTTGCTGTCTAAGGTGTGGTAATTTAATGAAGTTTTCACATGAATGAAACCATTACTTCATTGTATAAATTACATATTGCTAACAGCTCAAACATTAGTGAACGGAGGCTTGGCAGGCTGGTACTTCTAAACAATAAATACCAGGAGTGTCCTTGTTCTGGCTTTATATTCAGGTGTAGCACCATAATATCACTTGGCGCTTTCTGAAGAGGACCTTTGAGGGTGAAATAGTCACGTTGTTTTGTACCCTTGAGTGTAATTTTGAAGATGCACCACATTTTGTATTCCGTTTAGAGGCATGGCTGCAATTTCTTCATTAAAACCTAGTTTGATAATACCAAGGACGCTCATGGTCTAATTTATTAATTAGATACCACCCAATACACCTACAGGACATCTCGAAAACAATTTTGTCAAG